GACATTGGAATATAAAAAAATTATTACATCCTGGAATTGAGCCTGTCATACTAAACAGCCAACTTAGACCACTGACAGGCCCAGAAAGCCCAATTTGCAGCATGCTCCAGATCCCCATCACCAATAAGAGCCTCCACAGATGCTGGCAAACCTGAGCATTTTCCTGCAATGGCTATTCAGCTTTAAGATATTTAAGGCTTCAAGAAGACACTGTTTATCTACAAAATTATTTCTAGACATAAACAACAGAGAAGAAACTGGCAGAGTAATAGATAACAGCCCTCACAGCCCTAAGACGGCTCTTTTCATTAAGAGAGTCATCTTCCACTATTCTGCTAACAGAAAACCTAATTAAACATTGTCAGTGATTCAAATTCCATATAATCTTGAAATGATAAATACATCAAAATCTATGTAAACAAGCAACAAACCTTTCACACTCACTTTTGAAAATATTGTTTGCACTTAAAAGATTTTCTAAAGTCTTGGTCTATCAAAGAAAAAACGGACAATCAAAATTACTCTCCTATGGAGTTTCACACCCCGATCAAGTCAAATTTAAAATAAGGTCTACTATGCAAAAACCAGCACTTGTGATCAACATAAGCTTTCCATATTATTATTTTCCCAACAATTATATTTAAAACAATGGCATAATCTTAAAATAGGTTGAGAATAGGTTAATTGACTGTTGACTAGTAAGTCCACATTTAAAAAGTTCTAGCTTTTTTTTAAAAAGGGAATTTAGAACAGGTGTTCAGTGATTTCTCCTGTTACTAGTGGTCACCAATTTAAATACATGAAAGAAATTTATTATTTGCCTGATTTTTTGGATAACTGAATAAAAACCCACCAACAGGTTATACTACATGCATGTCTTCACATACATGGTCTTAGAATAGAATAGCTGAAATGGAGTGGACCTACGCTGATCATCTAATCCACCTACAACCTTAAAAAGAGCCTTAAATATAAAAATAGAAACATCGCAAAGTCAACACACTGCCAAACAAGAACTTGCTTCATCAGTGAACTGGAAAAATTAGTTCAGTTTGGTTCCTCCTTTGGCCAGTCCTATATGGCTTCCAGGAGTCCTAAACAGATTCAGACAAGCATCCAGAATACCCTGCTCCCAAAATATAGTGGCTACAGACAACTTCCAATACATGCAGCTCCTAAATATTGCTGTGACCTGGGAGAAAAGTGCAAACTGGTTCAACTCACAAGAATCCACTGCAATATCCAGCTTCTGATACTCATACACAAAGTAGCAGACATTCCAAAATAAAAATTAAAAAGTTGATAATCACAGTAATGCCTGGTCCCTTTTAAAGCAATTTGAAGCACTTTTATCACCACTACTCTCCTGCAATATTTTAAGCCTGTAAGAGAAATATGACTAATCAAAACCAGTTTCGACAATCAAAAGTAATTTTTTTGTGGAAAAGTAAAAGCACATTCTGTCAGGAAGATACTTATTTAAAAACATATCATTAGATAAACTGTTTTGGAACTGCAGCCTGTATTTTGGAAGCCATAGCCAAATTGATATGCCACTACCTCCCCTCATATGCTGAGTAACTAAATTTATTTTTCATTTGTAAAATTTTTTATTTGCCGTTTCATAAGTTTTCTAAAACTACAGTCAGAACTGACTTTTATATGATTAATTCTTCGTTACCGTAATTTTAATCTAAAATAAAATTATTCCGGAGCAAACCTATTGAAACAAAAACAGTTGTATCAGTTTTACAGCCTGGCTAATTTATGCAGTCTTTATTTCAGCATGGCTCAGTAGAAATCGCTTAGCAGATATTTAAATACGTCTAAATAAGTGCTATTGTCACAGGAAAAACAAAACAACTTAGAAATATCTTTGACATGAGAAGATAGAATAACCACCATAGAAGTGTACATAAGAGAAATACGAGGGACATCTTTATTTATAGTTTCTGAAATGAAATGCTATGCCAAGTTTACTTTCTTAAGTTCACTTAAAAATCAAAATATAACTAGAAAACAGCTAACCAGCAACAGAACTCAGGGGGAAAAAAGGATTACATTTATTGATCAGTATTTCAGCTTGATTTCTCCTGTAATTTTCCCTGGTCACTTCAGTAATGTGAACTATATTCTGCAAAATTAATTAGGTTAAATTGCATTTCATAAATTAAATAAGTTATTTGAACATTTTTGCAAGTATTTATTATAGATGTGAACTGAACTATTTATTACCTTGCTTATTACTTACAGCATGTAGATTCTACAGTATCATTTCTACCCAAGCAATGTATGGAAAAAATCACATTTAATAAGTACAACATTGTGAAAAACTAAAGTAACTGCACTTCCCAACAAAAGATATAACTAACATCTGTTGCAGAAACTGCTTGGCACTTGCACAGTTTTGTGAAGAATTTTTGTTGTAGATAAATATTTTTCTACATTTCCTATTATGCACCACTCAACTCAGACATTTTCCTTAATTATACTCCAAGGAGTCCTTTCATATCCATTAAAGAAAAGCAATTTGTTGCCTAAAAGAATGCATACACATTTTTTAATTTCAACTGTGATTCATCTGTCTTCTAACACATGAAAAAAATCAAGAAAATACCTATAATTAATGGACTTAGTTTTGCAAAAATTTCTACTAAAACTCTCAATGCTCAACATATTACATTTGTTACATATTTTAATATGCTGGTTTTATGTAAGCAATGGTCTTGCAATTCATCATTCTACTTCTATTCCACATCTCAATAATGAGAAAAATAGCACAGTAAAGCCTTTAGGAAAGCAAGAAATTACCATTTCAACATTGGTAAAAATTACCAAAGGCTTCTATTTTGTATACACAAAAAACACAGATCATCGTTTTTTCAGGGACAATGCAAGAACTTTGTGACATTTCTCTTTCTTTTTTTTTCCTCCTTTTTTCTTCTCTTTCTTTTAATTTCACTTTCCACTACTCATAATTAAAGAACTTCAAAATCACTGAGCTCTTGATACAGAGTGCATTTTTCCCTGAGAATATGCATGTACTGTGCACATTTAAGAAAAGTGTTGTATTCTGCACACATTCTGTCGTACTCATACATTAGCAATCAAGACTTGTCTGCTAACATAATAAACCGTACATTTCGGGTTTTTTTAAAGCATGCAGTAGAAACCCATTTAAATGCTATTGTAAGAATGAGGTGAAAATGAGGGTACTGCCAATAAAAGAAATGTGAAAAAATTCAGTTCAGGCCCAAAAGTCTACCCACATGGGCCCACCTGCACAATGAGAGAGCTACAAATATAATTTGCTGTAAAGCAAACCAACTGGCATTGCATTCATTATTAATATGAAATTGGGCAAAGAATATTTCTTAAATTTTATTTGCTATCAAAGATTTCACTTAATATTGAACCAAATTTGGCCACTTTAAATATGAAAAATATAGTAAAATAAGAAATACGTAAATTATACAAGAAACAGCCCTTTTGATGATGAAAAATGTGATCTGTATTGCTCTATGAAAAAGTTAAAGCCAAGGCATATAGATAATATTTGGATGACAAAATCCAATCAGTTTTGTCTCAGGATATTTTCATTTTTAAGTGGGAGGTTTTTGGTTTTATGCTGTATAACAAACTAAGCAAAATTTGCTTTTATGCTGTATAATGAACTAGTCCATTACTAAACTTACATATCAAAGTCCATATTACATTTCCTTTAAGTATTCATTACTTTTTCCTAAGTCTGTTTTAGATATAAAAGACCTAGAACTTGTAGGTTCTATCCCTCCATAACTTTTGTTTACTTTTTTATGTAACTTCATATTTTCAATCCAAATTCCATTTTTTTCCTTTTTCCTAAGAATGAATTTTCAGAGAAAAGGACCAACAATTCTAAAAAATATTTTACAGTGTAGTTTACAAAGCTGTCACAATCTCTTCTTAAAAACACTGCTGTACTCCACTCACATTTACACCATTTCCTAACATATAATAAGCTTAATTTCTTTTGACTCAGAAAGGAGACATTTGTAGCAATAAAGAAACAAAGGCTGTATGTTCAACTATACTGTATTAAGAGCAGCTATTCTACAGATCAGTTTGTTTGGAGCTGAAAGTCTAAAACTTCATATTTCAGAAAAATAAAAATCTAAGAAAGAATCAGTTTAAATAAAAAGCAGCAACACAGTAAGGTGCTGAAACAGTTTTCACTCTGCTGCACTCAAAGAACAAACAGATTTCTCATATAATTTTTAAGAGGAGTCCTTTAAATGACATTTATGAACAGAATGACACAACCCAATTTTAACTTCTTCCTACAATTTCAGAAGTAATTTTCAGCATTTCCTCAAATGCATCTGACATGATAGGAATGTAGACAAGACAAATTTCTCAGAAACTGAAGAGCAAAAGGTACACTGAATAGAACAATTACATAATTTACTGTGTGATAGCTAGAAATTAGACAAAAACATTACTCCTGGGAACAGGAAGATGAGAACCAGTTCAGGACTTCAGAACAGGAATTGCAACTCTAACCTCAATCAGTACACAGCAGTTCAGAAAAAAGCTTTTACATAAAAAAGGCAACCTATGGCCGCAATGTATTGCTTTAAGCAGTGGAAAAGAATGGAGTAATGGAACAGTGCAAAATTAAAACTAATAGCAAATAAAAACTCAATTTAAACAAAAAAATCACTGTCCCAGCAGCTTTTCATAAGAGTAGTTTTAAAAACATCTTTTCTCCCTTAAGCAAAATATGGTGAAAGCAGAAGATCTGTTTGTATCCAAGTATTACTTGTCTGTTTTCCAGAACAGCTAAGTCTGTATAGAGTGCAGTGGACTAAGTTTTTTAGGGACTGGGACTCCTCCTGGTCTGCATACTTACAGTAAAGAAGAAACATCCTTAACCAGGATGTCAGGGTAATAAGTGATAGGGGATCAGTGGTGTGCAGAAAGTAAATATAAACAGGCAAGAAGCTGACACATTAACATACCTCTTGTACTGAGCGAGCTGCTGGCTTGTCTTGGTGATTGGCCAGTATTAAAAACGGCAAAGTACATAACTGTGGGTGCTGAAGAGCAGAATGCAGCTCATTCCTAGCAGTTTCTAGATCATCTTCAGAGGAGGCGCTGTCTAGTACAAATATTACCCCTTGGGATCCTTGGTAGTAACGACTCCAGTATTTCCTGATATTATCAGCTCCTTTCAAGACAATAATGAGAACTAATTAAAACAAGAATAGCTTAACAAATGTAACACTTGTAAGTGACAATAAACCATCGACTTAGTATGATCAACATAATTAACTAAATTTTCTCTTAACCATCATTAAAATAATAAAAAGAAAAAAAAGCATTCAAAAAATCCACACACACACACCCCCCAATGTCAAATCACCATTGTTTAAATGGAAGGAAGTTGACTCAATGCAGCTTTCTTCCATTAAAGCTTCTGCTTTGTTAATGAGTACTGGCAGAACAACCATGCTGACAGTACCACACAGCCTAATCTTTTACCTTCTCACTGGAATATTTGGCACTAATACCTAAACCTTTACCCATTCTTTTTCACTTTGCCCTGCAGCTCCTTGTCATAAACCTGCAGCTTCTGTCATGGCAGTTGCTCATTTCTGATAAGGTCTTCCAGTTCATCTCCAAACCATCAGGCAACCACTTCATAATTGGGGAAAAAAGGTGTCAGAAAAGCCTATTAAAGTAATTAGATATTTAATGAGGAAAATGATGATACAATAGTGAGTTGAACAGTGAATGAGGAGCTAGGGTGACTACATGCAAAGGCATTCAGTTCATCTAGTTTTGCTCTGTCAACCACACTAAGGATTCTGGAAGAGCCCAACAGCAGACACATGAGTGACTGTATAGGCTTATATGCCACAGTAATTTTTAGGACACAGTTCAGCAGCACTCAGCCATCTCAACAGAAGCCAAGCACTAAGGTTATCAACAGAAAGCTTTTGTCTCCCCTGGAGAGCAGCATATGTTGTAGCAATGAGGTAGGAAAAAAAAAATTGTATTTGACAGCTGTCAAACTATCTAAACTATGATTTGGATATGGGCTATTCTTTGTATGTCTGGATCTGGCACTACACTCGTGGGGACAAACACTGAACAGTGAACAGCGGCAGCAACAGTCTAGTAGAAAACTTGACATGTCTGCCAGACAGTGACTTGCAGAAATGTGCAGAAGGCAACTTTTATAGACACTTTTCTTATTTTGAGACAGGGAGAAGTGAACTTCCATATATACACAAGAACCAAGAGCTTGAAATAATAAAATTCCACTTTTCAGTGAAACAAAATGACAGAAAATTTCTGAGAAACATAATGAGATTTTAATGTAACATAATGATTGTAACATTAATACAATACTTAAAATATTAACTTAATTTACTCATTGTGCAACAAAAAAGACACTCACTTAAATACAAGTGAAGGAAGAAATAAAAATTTTCTCCAGGAAATTTACGTACGCAACGCAAGAGTATTCACATCTCACCTAATAGAGTTACTCTTGTCTTTTTACTAGTCACACTGGAACCCTGAACATTTTGTTTTTGTATCTTCACCCAGCACAAGCTGTCAACACAAAAGCACACACACTTTTTTCTACAGAGAATACTGAAGTCATACCTAATAATTTTTTTTTCTGCAAAAGACCTACAGAGCTCACTACTTAAATGTGAATAATCGCGGGACTTAGTCAAGACCTTGTTTAATCTCTCTGTTAATTTAACCAGACTCAAAATAAAAATGCCAAACAGGACGGATGTTTTATTTATTTATTCATCAGGATCTGAAGATTAATATTATATATACAGAAGAGGGACTACACTGAAAGCTAATTCTATGTTTCTGTAGCACACGCATATCTGCCAACTGTACTTGTAAAGAATTTTATAGCATCTGTTAGATGCCCCAGTCTTTCTGAACAGCTGTCTACTTCAGAACCAAGTAGAGCAAGCTGCCAGAGGGACACTATTTACACAGCCACACACAGCAGTGTCGCAGGAATCTGAAGTATCACATTACTTTAAAAACTAGTAGAGAATCATTTTCTATGAACTTAAAGACCAAGACCATGATCAGTTCTTTGAACATGTTTTTTTCTAGCAACATAACATCTGTCTTATGTGCTCTAAGCATCAGTCAGCTACTTTTCAATCACATGTCACTGCTAGAATCTGAGTCTTACCTTTGTAACCATACTCAGTCTAAAAAGAAAAAAACTGTGGTAAACTGAAGAGCATTTGATCTCTTGTATCCAGGCACTTGGAAGAAAGCAGCTCATAGATCCCTACATGGGACACTGAAGCCAGAAAAGGAGTATGCTGATTTGTTGACGTTACAGTCTGTCTTTTTGGTTCAGGTTCTTTAGCAGCTCAACTTTGTTTCCCCACGTCAGTTGTCCCAAAAGAACCATGACCAAAGTATAGCAGTCCTTTTCTCTCCAGCCCTGGTCAGTCACCATGGCATAGGCATAAGAACCAACTTCCCATAAGAACAGCATCCCATGAAACTTGGCATTTTCTTTGGGATCTTCCATTACTCTAATGACATGCCCTGAAATTGCTTACACTTCAGTTCTGAGGAAATCACCTGAGGTTTAAAAATAAAAAGAATTTGCACTAAGCAGACAAGGAAAAAGCTGATAAAGCATGGACCTTAGGGTGCCATTTTAAACCATTTTTCTGGCAAATGCACTAGAAAAATAAGTCTTGGCATCAATAAGCTATCAGCAGCTGGAAGTCACAATTTCTACAAGACAAATAACCTGATATTCTTTTGCCTTAACTCTTCATATCCAGAGAGCAGAATCTGCTCTCAGCTTCTTTCCTCAGAGCAGTGGAGTGGAGTGATCCTGGAGCTATCCTGGGAAGGAAATACTTGTCTATGAATAGTGTTTCAGCCATTCACACTTTGTGGCATGACAAATTCAGCCTTAGAAAGCAAGCAGTTGTTTTTAGGTGCAGTTCAGCAAAATTGTTTTATTAATTAATTTTGTTCATTTATTCTAAAGGTTTCAAAGACAGGAAGATGCTTAGTCTGAGGTCTTTGGAAATCTAGAATATAATGTATATCCATTAAACATCTTAGAGTCTCAGAAGACTGATGTGATAAAAGCAGGAATTTAACTTAACTAGTACCCAAATCATCCCATCAAACAATAGTAACACACAGAATAAGCACTTAGATTTGTCAGCCTGCTATCATGTGTTTTGCTAACAGCTTTGAACCATATTCCTGTTTCTCCAACCAATAAACTTCCTAAACTATGATAAAAAAAAATCTCCAATACTTCAGAAAAACATACTTCACATAAGACCTAAGGAATGTGCTATGTGACAGGTTCACTAAAATGTGACATTCATAGCGGCTTCCTCAAACACAAGCAAGAGCCACTACTTATGGCTAAGCATATGATTCACTTCCCTCAGCCATGAAGGAAACTTACAGGAGTGGGTTGACTCCTGTGATGTGACTGAAATATGCAATTACAAATAAACTAGGGGGAAAAACGCACCAAAATACAAACTACAACACAACCACACCACTTATTCTAAAAGAAAAGCTGCTATTCAATCAAACATAGGCTTGAATTACTTTATAACAGGAAAAAAACCAAACCTTCGCTTGTAGAAAAATGACAGGATGCTGCAATTAAAAACCCCAAACATTTAGCATTACTACACTAATTGTAATTTTAAAGACCTTTATTTTAATATTTTTAAATATCAAATAAATATTTTTTTCTTTATCATCAGTCAAGGAAACAGTGTGCCCATATTAACACTTAATTATTTGTATCAGTGTTAACAGTACCCCTGGGGAGCTGGGAGGAAGATTTTGAGTTATGTGCAGTTTAACCTGCACCTGAACGAGTACACACAAGTACAAGTACACACTCATGTAAATATTATGCAGAACACAAAGCTGCAAATCTACCTTTCAGCTATAAATACTTCTATTTACATCTTCATTCAGGGTGGTGGTTTGAGGCTACCTTCAATTCCCTCCTTTTCAGTACTTTCAGGAGAACAGAACATAGCGTTACAGAAAAAATTCACTGAAAGAAATTTGCATGTATCAAATTTGTTACTTCTCAGACTTGCAGCAACTCTGCATCGAAAGCACAATGAATGTCACAGAGCCCTTGCTTTAACACAGTCTAGTCTGCAAATTACAGTTCTTGTTAACTTCAAAATATATCACAGGTCTGGAGAAGATATAGTCCCAAATAGAGAGAAAAACTTTTTTTTCCCTTCCCATCAAAAACATTTAACACGGGCACATGAAAGAACGCAGGCTGCAAACAGCTTTTCTACAACTTCAAAGATATCATCCACGCACCTACATACTCTGAAGGTTTTATAGTTAATTAAAATATTATATAGATCATTACTCTACTGATATTAAACATTTCTAATAAGCATAAAGGCGAAAAAATGCCAAGGACTCTGCCACAAGATCTTTTTGTGTGCAACACTGGCCATGGGTGCGGGAGCAAGAGAGAAGGGAAGGGGAAAAGAAATCTCATCCATTCTTGCAAAATTTCTAATATAACCTAGTCTCTTACCCTAAGAAAATCTTAGGAAAATACATGTTTCTAAATATATGTAGGGATAATACCTTCACATCATATCGTCACAAGTAAAACTGATGTATTTTCCTGAGTAGTCAGGAACATGCCTTAGAAATCTTAACACATTCAAGAGATGTGGCTGCCCCTTATCTATCTTGGGCAGGTTTCCCAGTATTCCACCCTTGAATAAATCCTGTATACAGTAGGGGGATTTTTGTTGATTGTTTGTTGGGTTTCTTTTAAATGTGCTGGCTTCTTTCTATGAAACACAACTTTATAAATCCTGTTTAAGATACCTGCTATGAATCTGCATGGAATTTGTCCCATCTGACAGAGACATCCACAAAGAGATAAAAATGTTTTTGCTGGTGTCATGTCAGTCATCATTCCATGGCTACTTTGTATGGCTGCTGCAACAACACAGATGCTAAACCAAAACCTTCTCCCATTTTCAGAAGTCCCAGGACTTCTGCTTCCTCAGGTCTAAGTGATCACAGCCTACTTTCTCTAGGCTTTCAGGCAGTGTACTCCTGCAATGCACAATACATGGCAGTGGGAAATTGGCACTTTTTCCCCAGAAAGAGGAATATTTTGAGACTGCC